GTCTGTAGACTTGCTAAGTCCCTTTACGAATTAAAACAAGCACCCAAACAATGGCATGCTAAATTTGACCAAACAATGTTGTCAAATGGATTTAAGATAAATGAATGTGATAAATGTGTGTACATTAAAAATGTTCCAAATCACATAGTCATTGTTTGCTTATATGTGGATGATATGCTCATAATGAGTAATGATATTGCCAATATAAATGCTACTAAGCGTATGCTAACTAGCAAGTTTGATATGAAAGACTTGGGAGTTGCTGATTTAATTCTGGGAATTAAGATCCATAAGACTTCTCAAGGTCTAGCATTGTCACAATCTCATTATATTAAGACAGTACTTGAAAAATTCAAGCACTTGGGCTTTAAAGTTGTAAAGACTCCAATTGATGTGAATCTTGCATTAGCAACGAATAAAGGCCAGAGCATATCACAATTGGATTATGCTCGTGTGTTGGGTTGCTTAATGTACATCATGAATTGTACACGACCAGATATAGCTTGTGCTATAAGTAAATTGAGTCGATATACGAGCAATCCAGGCCAATCTCATTGGATGGCCATGAAACGAGTTTTGGGGTATTTAGTACATACCCAGGACTTTGCTTTGCACTACAATAAATATCCTGCGGTCATTGAGGGATACTGTGATGCAAATTGGATCACCGGATCAACTGATTCCAAGTCCACAAGTGGATATGTATTCACTATTGGTGGAGGAGCGGTATCTTGGAAGTCATCCAAACAAACTTGTATTGCCCGCTCTACAATGGAGGCTGAGTTCATAGCCTTGGATAAAGCCGGTGAAGAAGCTGAATGGCTCCGAAATTTCTTGGAAGATATTCCATTTTGGCCCAAACCGTTGGCACCAATATGCATACATTGTGATAGTCAAGCGGCAATTGGAAGGGCTGGGAGCGTTATGTATAACGGTAAGTCTCGCCATATACGACGAAGACATAAAACCGTTAGACAATTACTCTCTAGAGGAATTATCACGATTGACTATGTAAAGTCAAGTAATAATGTGTCGGATCCACTTACAAAAGGCCTAACTAGAGAGGTAGTTGAGAAGTCATCAAGGGGAATGGGACTGTGGCCGAGAACAAGTCATAGTGGCGGTAACTCTACCTAGAAGACTGGAGATCCCAAGATCTAGGTTCAAGGAGATCAAACAAAGTCATTTATTACGGTTCAACATTGTCAAGTAAACTTTTGGTCCATTCTCGTGATGAGACAATGTTCAGTACCAAGGATAAAGCATTAAGGCTTTTTAATGATTTCTAAATTTGATACGGGGTATATCAAATAGTGTATCTACGGGATGACACGTTCAGGAATCACCTATGTAAGTGTGAAGTGTTAGCCGCTTCAAGGAGAACATTGTAAGGCCAGTTCTCTACGCACTTATGAAACCAGGCGGTGTTCATGGCTGAAAAGAACACAACAATGAGAACCAAAGACGGTTAAGGGTTGGTTGTGTGACTTGTGGTTGTCTAGGTATACACTAAAGTTCGACGGTTCAAAGATATCAAATCTACCGATTGATCGAGTATATCCGACATAAGTTCACTACGGAAAGTTCAAAGGGAAACCTACTTATCCAGATGCAATTAATCCTTACTTGCGAATCACACAGTTTTTCATGCATACTTCCGTGATATAGCCATTCCCCATTCATGTGGGGGATTGTTGGGTTTTGGATGTGTTTAATTAATATATTAAATACTTAAAAGAGGGTGAATGGGAAATGGAGGGAAATAAAATTTTTGAGTGAAATTTTAAGTTCCCCCCCCCCTTGGCAAATGGGCATTGTCCCATGTTGGAAGAGGAAGAGGTTTTTTATGGGTATATAAGCAATTGCTCTTCTTCTAGCTCTTAAAGAGTTGAGAAGAAGGCAAGCCTCGCGCCGTCGTCGTCGTCGCTCGCTCGGCTCGGCTTCGGCTTCGGCTACGGCTACGGCTTCGGCTTCGGCTTCGAATTCGGATTCGGATTTGGATTTGGTCAAATGATCGATTGATTGATTAACTTTTTGGACCAAATTTATTTGTTAATAGTAAAATATTAACAGAAATGTTATTAAATATTTGTTTTAATAACAAAATATTAATATTAAATATTAATATTAAATCCAATCCGTTTTTCTGTTTTGGTAACAGAAAAGTAACTACCCTCTTCAATTTTCCCTCTTTATTTTCCCTCTTTATTATTGAGTAAATGGCCATTTATGTAATGGCATTTATGTTGTGTGCGTTTTGCATAAACAGCCATTCTGAAGAGTTGCACCCTCTTCAGATTTCAGCCTAACTTTGGCTATAAATACAACACTATTCTGCTCAGAATTTCACTACGATTTTCTGAGTTTCTTCTCCTTCTTCTGCATACTTTTAGCATCAAACAAAGCAAAAAGTAAGTGTGATTTGCTACCGAACTTTGTGTTCGCTGAAACACTGGGGTTTGAAGTACCACTACACCAGTGTGTAATTCGTTCTATCCTGGGAGGAAATAATCCATAACCTTGGGTACTAGGAGGGGATTAAATTCCTTAAGGAAACACTGTGAATTCAGTGGGCTCGTTTATGTCATTTCTGTTTATGTTCATTTCTGTTTATACTCATTTATATTTCCAGAATTATTTTACAAATACAGTCTAGTAACAATTAGGCATGAAACCATGCTTGTACAGATGTGCTCTAACATCATGAGGTTCAAGAAACCCACTAATATTTTTACATCTTGAACATGGACACGTTATACTCCCATTAGAAACGAAGTCATGTTGCATTAATGCAAACTCTACAAATCCCTGCACACCCTCTATAAACTCAGTGGTGACTCCTTTTCGACTAGGCACTAGTCTATTATACATCCATATACGATCAGCTCTAAAGGAACTCATGCTTGCTATCTAACAAGAATGACAAAACACAAACACTATTTTAATTCTTAATAATATATTAATTAGTTCACCAATTTAAGCAGATTGACAACACCAAATCTGGAAAAGTACAGAGAAGACAACTAGCAGAGATTGCCTATGTTTTTCATCAAACACATGTTTTGTAAGTGGAATTTATTTATTTAAAAAGGTATATCACTTCAGCTTTGCTTTCAAGTAAACTTACAAAGGCTCATAGGCTTCTGCTTCTTTTTTCCTATCATATAATAAAAGTATGATTATATTAATTTCATTCTTATTCACTTATCATATTGCCTTCATTGGAAATAATTTTACTTGCTTAACCATAGCAACAATAAATCTTCATTATTTTTCGTTCAAACCCAGAAATAGTTGTTCATAATAATATAAGGACAATCATCTAATAATCAGCAAAACCAAATAAAACATATACGTAGAAGCATCTTATATCACATTATTGAAAGTTCAATTTCTATAATAAGATAGAATACATAAATAATTGAGGAAATTGCTCTATCTTAGTTCATAGTTAACACTAAATTAAGCGACAACAAGAATTCCTGGTGTGAGGAAGGTATTGATAACTCACGATAAACTAAACACTCAATAAAAGACCTATTTGCAGAGATGCTTCAAGTATAGGAGAAATTCTTACCGGAAACTTACAAGCGGCAACGATAACAAGTTGTCTCCTTTCACTGGCTTAGAAGATCATATAGTTGAGGCTTTAGAGGAATAAAGAGACGTGGAAGAGTGCGTGGATGTTTAGCAGGTTTTAAGGATTTGAGATACAGAGTTCAGTTAAAAGAATATTACTAGAGATTTTAAGCGGCAACCCTACAAATTTAAGAGAAAGGGGTGACTTGGGATTTAATTAGAATTATTTAATTAGGGCTTATTTTTAATTTGCTACAAATTAGCTAAAGCTTTCCTGCTAGCTAAGCTGGACTGTTATGAGTTATGACTAGATTTAATTAGTATTATTTAATTAGGGCTTATCATTAATTTGCAACAAATTAGCTAAACCTTTCCCACTAGCTAAGCTGGATTGCTTTTACAATTTTTTATTTTACTTCTAAATTCCCTAAAAGATAGTCTAGATGAATTCTCCACCAATTTAATTAGGATGGTGAGATAGGATAAGAAATAATGACGAGACAAAATTTCATTTTAATTATACATAGAAAAATTATTTTAAATATGTGGGTTGTGGCCACGCAAATTTTGATAAATTGCCATATTTAAACATTCGTTATTATTAAATCACCATAATAATAATAATAATAATAATTTGCTTGAGATTAGCTAGGACTCGTCCATAGCTAAACAACTGATTTAACACAAAAAATTAGTGATATGTTGGAGTTTCCCGCTAAAGCTTAGGTACAGATTTGGCTAGGAAACATCCTTAGCTACTTTTTAGCTAGAGATTAGCAACCGCATATATTCCTAGCTAAAAGACAAATTTTCGGAAAAAATAATTAGCGCCAATATAAGTTTCCCGCTAAAATTTAGCTATACATTAGCTAGGAGATTTTCCTTGCTAACAAATTGCTAGTGATTTGCTACGAACTGTGTCCCTATCTAACCTATGATCTTTTGGAAAAATAAATTTAGCGCCAAATTAGGATTCCCGCTAAAAATTAGCTATAAATTTGACTTGGGAAAATCTCTAGCTATATTTTAGCAAGGAATGGTCCCTAGCTAATTCCTATCTATATTATGACTAGATTTTTAATCGAAAAAATTTGCAAGGAAATGTGACTTTTCTAGCTAAATCCCTAACTAAAGGTGTATATTAGCTAGGGATATGTGTATCCAAGCTAAATTCCGTAGCTAATGTCCTGTTCTCTTGTAGTGATTGTAAAGCATGTGACGAATGTAAAGTGGTTTTCCTTTCTATATTTTCTATGTTCTCCTACATCCGGGGGGTGGGGGGGTGGGGGGGAATGGAAAAATCAAATAAACTGATATCGTTGCTTGAAAAGAATGAAGATTGGTATTTTGAATGAGGGTAATAGAAAATTCAATAAACAAATGATCAGCTGAGTACATGAAAGCAATAAATTTAATGGCTTTCTAGAAGTAAAGCTTTTCATCTTCTCATATAGGTAACGAATATACAAACAATTGGATGTTCTCTACAACATGCTTCTATAAACTTAATAGTTGTCAACATTCTAAACTATGAGTTGATTGATCAAACATCATGAATGAAATTTAAGCACAACCTCTATGATTTTAACATCAAAAACAGATCGAGATGCGTCGATTTTTCGAAGATTTGGCACATCTTATGACACTGACAAAGATGTTTTCATCACAAGGAATCCATAATTTTGATTCACAAGTAAAATCATAAATTTCTTGGGCTTGATCTAGCAATGCCTTGAATAGTGGATGATTGAGCAAAGTGATTTTGATTACAAATCTTTTTTGGTATTTTCCTACATATACAACCAAGTGACCCCTTGGAACATCACTTGGGATAGTCTTCTCTTCTTGCAAAAATGGCCATATTGGCCATTTACAGCATTTGTCACAATATGCACAAGGTATGATTCTTTGACATGCCTTGAGAAATTTTCCATCCATTATTTGGATATTCCTTTGAGTAGAATATAAAGAGAGGTAGTTGTTTTATGAAGTTAGAAAAGAGGAGAGATCATAGTGTGGTGTTTATATGAAAGTGAAAAAGGTATATATAAGAGTTGAGGGATAGCCAATCTTTTGGGATCACTCAAAGGTCAACACTATTGAGTAACTGAAAGAAGCAAAGCACGTGTGATTGATACTACTTTAGAGTCGTTTGGTTTGAGTGAAAGAAAAGGGCAGCCCGGGTACAAAGTATTCTGTATTCACGTCAGGGTTACGTTGGGGGAAAGGTCGCACAAGAGTGTAATTTGGACAGCCTACCTTAATATAAATATTAGTGGCTACTTCCACAGCTCGAATCGGTGACCTATGAGTCATACCGAAACAACTTTACCGTTGCTACAAGGCTTGACTACTACACAAAATAATACATTTTTAGATTAGAGAACTAAAATAACTAATGTACTATTTGGTTGGTCGTATAAGAAAAAATAATTTCTGCATAACTAACGTAGCAGTTGACTAGCGAGAATTTGTATATTACTTTATGCAAGATTGAAATAAGAATATATGTATGATTAGCAATACATGGATCAAAAATACCCTTAAAGTAAATTATCATAACATAAAATTTTCAATATTATTCATTGCATAATGGCTATATTATTATTCACAACATAGCAATCCCTTTATTATTGTTTATTGCTGAATAAAATATATGTTATATATAGATACTTTTGTATAATTAATATGTGAACCAAACAACCCCGAAGTGCTCTAGATGGCTTACACTTTAACAGTAGTACTTCTAGATACAATAGTGTACGAACATGCATTGCGTGAATGAAGAGTAATGTGCATTTTTAAATTATGAAAATTCTGCACTAGCTCTTTTTAATTTTATCTTCTTTCTCATTGGCTAATTTCTTGCTCAGTGATCTGTTGAAAATTTTAATTTAGACCCCACAAGAATAAGATATAGTATGAAAGTAGAAATGAGATAAGTTTCTTGGGCAAAGTGCAATGCCCATCTCCCACTTGTAATTGTTGTCATGCTATTACTTATCATAACATATGGATGTTTTGACGAGAGAGAGAAGAGTGGGAAGTGGGGGCTTGAAATCTTGAATTGAGTCATGTTCCTCTAAAATTTTAGGTTAATTTATTAAGAAAGAATTAACGGGAAATACGGTGGTTAATACTGGGCGTGTCAATAAAGTCTCGTATTGATTGGCAATATAGAATATTTTTTATATAAGGTGTAGGAATACTGAAGGGGAAGCAACGTTAAAATTGTCTCCATGTGATCTATAAGTCACGAGTTTGAACCTTAGAATCAACCACTGATGCTTGTATTAGGTAGGTTTCCTACATCATTACTCCCTTGAAGTTCGGCTCTTCATATTTCATACACCCAGTAACCCTTTAAAATGAAAGAATACTCTAGTGTAAAACTTTTTGGAAAAACTTCGTACGGGCTTTTAATTCAAAACGGATAATATCATAAAAGTATCTTTGGACTGGCTTAACCATATGGGTAATACACTCGGAAAAAAGACTAATTTTATTGAAAGGAAAAGGTTGAAAACTCTATGTGGTTAGTAATAATCCAATTAGTAGAGCACTAGATTATTAATTTGGATTAGTGGCTCTGAGAGTAGCAATTTCCATGTTGAAAATTAAGATTGAGGAAAAACCTCAATATCATTGACTCTCAACTCTTTTTGCACGTCCAATTGTTTATTTAGTCGGTAATTTTTTATGCTTATTAACGTGATTATCCTTTCCTCTTTTGCAGGACAACTCATTAAGCACTGAAAATGCGTACTGCCGTACAGTGGTAATCTTTATGTAGGCACATCACTTTTCGACAACTAGAATTAATCGTGACGATTAATTATCACACTCTTAAATTTTGAATTCTAGCTTAAAACAATATTTGGGATTTGTTTGAAGTAGGAGGTGTTACATTACTAAATCTAAAAAAGAAAATAGGACAAAGGGGAGGGGTTCTGAGTCGAGTATCTACCAGAAATAATCTCTCTATCTTCCTATAAGTAGGAGTAAGATCTTGTTTGACCAAAAAGTCTTAAACCTTTTTGCTAAACTAATTAAGTAAATGATGCTGGATAAATTCTAGTTAAAGATAATAAATTCTAGATCCAAGATTGGTAGGAAATAAAACATCTAGAACATGTATTTAAAGTTATTTAAAGCAAATGAGTGGTTCAATGGCGTTCTTATAAACAAACGAAGAAATGAAGACAAACAATAAACGAAACGGATGGTAGCATTTACTTATAAAAGGAGTAATTCATCCAACCATGCAACAAAGTGGATGATTCTCCTTCTGATAATGATGTGGGGTGGCTAAACGTGTAAGCAACAACCATTTTATCGGATCTGTTGTGGAAGAGCCAGGACCAACGCCACAAATTGAATGTTCTTTATTGATCATGTTTTATAGTTACATGAGAATCAACTTCTCTAGAGAAGTTTCGTAAAAAAATCAGGCTCCCCTTCTCCCCCCCTCTCTCTTCCTGTTTATATGGGACATATCTCATACCTACTGAAAGTACAAGTTGTAGAGAATATTCAATAGGATATTCCCTTTTAATATTCTATTGCTAAAACTAGCCGTTTCTGGCCAACCTTAGTGCATGACTCCGCCCTCGGCTGCTCGGCTCGTCAGCGTTGCTTCAGGAACATGACTTCGGACCAATTGACTTCCGAACATGGTTTGTTCTGTTTTTCCTCGACCTCGTCCAAGACGGACTTCTTCAGGGGTTTGCCCGGGTCGTGCTTAGCCGAGGCACCCCTGGCGAATCATGATCCATCCATTACGATTTCTCTTCACACTGAATTCCCTTGGTCGGATTTTGACCCATACAGTTAGTCTCCCCGCTTGCCAAGATCGTCATTTAGGTCGACCTTGGTAAGCGGACTGTGCCAATCCTGGCTTTGCGAAATTCGAACCAAATGCCGAGTAACGGTTGTCCTAGCCGTGGTGGGCGGTACTTAGAAGGTTGCGCCCAATGGTTAGGGGTCAGAGTGATGTCACCTTTTCACGCGTCATGATTGCGTGTTTTTCCTGATGTGTCACCTAGCCTCTTGCATTTCTATCACTTTGATTCTTGTGCATTTGGCGGTTACTTGCCTCAATTTTTGGGCCGATGCTTTCTTATAAGAGGGGGGGACCTTATTCAGAACTTTGTTTCTTCAAACTTTCAAAAGCGATTCATCTCCTTCTCTTGCATCTTTTTCTGTTTTCTGCAATTTCTTGATCAAGGATCTCCGTTTACACGTAACGCACAAATGGCTAGTGCATCTCCTAACTCCGAGGAAATTTCCCAAACCCGTTGTTAGTGGCCGTGCCAGTTCGTGTTGAAGAGGAGGTTCAACCCATCGAAGATTATAGTTTCCCTACAGTGGAGGAGATCGTTCCTCGTAGTGATAAGACCAAATCTGATTTCTCGAAGCCCCTATTGACGAGCCCGAGCCGACGAAGTCCGTAATTGGAGAATCACGTCTTTCCGAGCTCAGAGCCAAGTACGGCATCCCTGCTCATGTCGATTTGGTTCCCGACGGGGACGATGTGGTCCAAATACATCATCCCGGGTATTGGCATTTTATGCGTACCCATTTCGGGTGGGTTATTCTCTTCCTCTTCCTCCACTAGCAGAAGAGTTCTGCCGTTATTACAACGTATGCCCGGCCCAGCTCTCTTCTTACATCTACAAGCTTTTTCTCATGTTGATAAAGTACGCCGAGCTGGCCGGCCGCGAACTCTCCATCCACCATTTGCTGCATCTTTTTGCTCCGAGCTTTCACCGGGGCACGATGATACATCTCCGCCACCGGGGAATCAAACGGCTGGTGGTAAAGATGGAAGACAAGGCTAATCACAGGTTTTGGGTTGACTATTTCTATATCAATAATGAGCACGTGGTAGCGAACCCTACCGGGTTTCCTGAGGCGTGGAATTTTAGTCGTAAGTATTCTGTTTAATTGGTCATATTTGTTTTGGATTTCCTAATCATTCTTTGTGGTGCAGCCGAGAGGGATCCTCCTGTGTTGGTTGCCGGTATCCGAGATAAGGTGGCTCAAATTTTGCCTCACACGGTGGGGATCCGTGAATAGTCATCTTTCAATAAGAAATTTAGGCGTCCACCTTCTTCAATTGGTAAGCCATTCCGTTTCTCCATTATTTGGGCCTTACTGCCGCCCTTTCTTATTGCTTACGCCGTTTCCCTTATTGCCAGGTCGAAAAGCCCCAAAGAGGACGAAGGCTCCCACCCTCACATTCCACCAATCGGGTGCTTTGGTCAAGCCTTCTGTCCATAGGGCGACTATTTCTTCGGTGAGGGCTACGGACCCGTCGTTGTTCCATTTGGTGGATGAGCTGCTAGCAGACGATAAAGAAAGTGGTCTCTTAAAGAGGCAGCGAATTGGAACCGGAGGGGGTGCCGAGATGGGCGAAGGCTCGGTTGGTGGTGAGCCGGAGCTCGTCGTGTCTGTGCATGATACTGGCGTAACCTCAGATGAAGGGATTCCGGCTCCCAATGCTGAGGTTGTTTCTTTGCCAGTGGCTGCCGCAGTCGTACCGGCGAGCGATCCTTAAAGCTCCGTGCCAGTCGAGATTCCTTCTTCTACAGAGGAGGTGGAGAAAGGTGTGGCTGGTGATGATTTTGAATCCGATTCCGACGTCGACCCCGAGAAAGAGAGGATGTTCGACGAGGGGCTTACCCGGGTCGAGGTGAGGACCGATGGGTCTTCTCGTTCGATAGTGATTCCCTTGGACTGCAACTTGATGACCAGTACGGAAAGCGTAGTCCCTGCTCTGGTGCCCCTTTGTTCTAGCGTCGAGCATAGGACTCTCGAATCGTTCAAGGACACCGACCTATCGTTGAGTATATCCGGGTTGTCTCTACGGGTGAGTAACTTCTTTTGTTTTCCCTTCTCTTTTTCGTACTCCTACTGACCCTCCTCTTCTTTTCTTGCTTGTTATCTTTCTTTGTAGACACTCATTTTAGAGATTGAGAGTGCCCGCCGAGCAGATAAGAA